TGAGAGCTCCACGCCCGGCTGAACGGCTTGGGGAGAAATTGACGACGAGTTCTATCGACATCAGTTTGCCACCATAGTTAATGGCGTCTGCAGGGTCACAAGTCGCCTTCATAGAGACAGGCTCTCGCTCCTACTTTTCGCTACCCTTCGACACACTGCTTTGATGCAGACTGAAAAAAGCACGATGATTGAAATAATGACAACCATGGTAACTCAGACAGCATCAACCAGTCAGGAATGGATTTACAGTAAGAATCTCTCAGTATAGGGCGGGTACGTGCCTTAACGTGAGTTTATATCGCCAACTGATGTGCAACAGTTGATCATACTAGTAATCGTTCAGCTATACATCCTTTTGGTGCCTAGCTGCTATGCTACCCGAAGGAAGCACGAGGGCTGGGATACTGCCAGGTTGCCCAAACCTAGACAGGGGGAGTCGAGAGGCAGGGGTCGGTTTCGAACCACGAACCTTGCGGTCAGTAAATTTGCGCTCTAACCAGTTAAGCCATCTCGCCCATCTAGGCCGTACAATGCCCGAATATATCTCGAAGTCGCCAGGGGGTAGTCGTATTGAGCCCTGTGTGCAAGTGCTTCCTGCTGCTGGTGATCAGCATACCAGATTAAAGAGGAAAAGGGTGCTCACTAAATATGGTCGGATTCTGAGATGTTTTAGATAGACATGATTAGCTGCTGACCCTGGGATAGCAGCAACATGGTGTGAAAGTTGTTCGAACTCAGCAACTGCTGCATTGAAATGTGGGATTCACTGTGAGGGACTGCGAAATTACTTGAGGTACAAAGTAGCAGGTAACCAAAAGAATGCGTCTTTGCTGGAGCTGATTCGTAATACCATTTATAATGCCGGTGGGCCTCATGCAAGCACTGAGGATATCTCTACAGAAATCAATGAGATGTTTGTTATCAAACAGACAGATCCGTAACTACGAATTGTTATTCGTTTATAAACAAAGAGAAGGATCAACCTGAAACACGACCTATTTTCTGCGATCGCCATTAAGTGCCAGAGGCGTACCAAGCTTATGGCCTCAACAACACGCTTCGAGTTCACATAGTACAGCTGAGGAAAGCGGTCTCACAATGTCAATATTCAGTTAGCTTACGTACCATAGTGTTTCTAATTAGCCCGCTCCTGATGAAAATCACCGTGATACTTCGACAGGCGTCTTATACACGTGGTTATAGACATTGCGAAAAATGGCGGCTGACCGAGGTCAAGGGTGTCCGTGCTGTCGGCCTCTCACCGGACTGGATGTGCATACAATTTCAGAATACTTTCTGGTGCCCAAGATGACCATTTTACCCGTCGCCATCGAACTGAGTTGACTGTCTCGTGAATAAGCACTGTCATGGGCACCGCTGCCATAGCCATTCGTGGTGACAACGGACTTTTCTTAGTTCTCCATCTGTTTTGAAACGCGGCCAACCTAGTAACATGATCACTTGGTCTGAGGATGGCTTTGTGTCAGAAGTGAAACGTTACCGAGCTACTCATCGACCAACTGCTTGTCGAACACTCTTGAAACGAACTGAACTAAGGTAAGATTCGGACAAAATAATGAAGAGTGGGTCGGCGTTTGTCTGTGTTATGTCTGCTGATCCCGTCTCCGTCGCCAGTCTGTTATATCTGCTAACTCGCCGATCTGTAGTATCTGATTGCTGACTCGCTCCGGAACCTAGTGCCGAAAAAACAATCATAGAAGGGAACACACTAGCTATACTCCAAACAAGCGAGTGCGAACCGCCAAACTAGTGCACGGTTTCCAAAATATGAGGAGCGGTTGCGTGGCGCTAAGTTACATTCGACTGCCCAAAGATCACGTGACAGTTGCATACATACATTCAAGATCTCGGAAGATCTCGTTTGCAGTAGCCAGAGCGATTGAGCTCCGTGGACAGGATAAACTCCCAACCCAAGGTTATGTTTCCCTTCGTGTTTCCTGCCTATAGAACTTTTTACCTCCAGACACATGAACCTTAACAGCCAACCTTCAAAACACAGACCAATCAGCACATTTAGTCCATGCATTTCTCAACGTGTTATTCACTCCAAAGTCAAGCCCACCTAACGGTATACAATGTGGGACAGAAGTCCTAAATAAATTGACTATGTGTGAAATCCAGTGATTCCGTAGAATTCAAGATCCCCACCGTAACCCACTGCAAGTCCATACCAGATGTCCAGGAATGATGCTCAACTGACTAACAACCATAACTTATTTGGGCCTTGTGTTGGAAAAATAAAACTGGGTGGATAAAGGACTTACCAGAATACTTCCGAGGTGATTACAATTCCAGACACATCACACATTGGACAGAAGCTGAAAAAGACATCAATGACGTCTACTGACATCCATTATGTTCTAGCGTCTCAAACCATGCCCAAGGGCCGTCACGCGCACTCCATCCTAGAAAGCGACTTACACCGATAGTAGCTAAGCTTTTCGTAACTGCCTTCACATCCTTCCATTCGCTTTACTCTGAACTAGACATAGAAAACACCTTTCGGCAAAGGATTGTACCAGAGTGAAATTCCATTTGTGTGCTATCACGCCTCAACATACTAGAAACCTCAAGAATCCGGCGAAATTTAACCAATGGAAATCAGAATAGTAAATCTACACTTACCGAGCAGTCCCAAGTTTTTGGCCACTTCGACAAGCCGAGCGTTAGGATCTTTGTTTAACTTGGACACAATCGTGTCGGGAGGATGGGAGACAATGCAACAGAAAACGCCGGCTGAATGGGTTATAAAAGACAGGAAAGAACGTACCTATGTAACCCGCAGCGAAAGTAACAACGAGTTGTTCCGCTTTCGAACAATCATCGCGGGGCTTGGGAACAACATACTTATAAAGTGCTTCAACGGTGCGCTCGAAACAAGCAAACTTCATCATGGTGTATGGAATTTGACGACCCCAGAGTGGTACGATGCCCTTATAAAAGCCAAAAAGACCTTCGTCCTTGAGCATTTTAGGGACACCTTCTCGTAGGGTATTTGCCCAACCGGGCATGGTCTGTATCCGGACCTTGACAGCCTCCATGGGACAGAGCATGATGTCAGCAAAGAACTCTGCGCTTGCGCTAGCAGCAAGATACACGGTCGTCCGCCATAGGTATGCATTTTCCTGAACAGCCGATACGATTACGTCTTAGAGACAAAATACCTCCGAAAGCATGCCATTATATAGGTGCTTGAAAACTTCATAGAACCCAAACTTTCCAAGACCCTGAAGGGAATAGCCGATCGCCGTTGGTGCCCATCCTCGTCCCAAACCACGGATCCCGCCCTCCGCAACGGTTACGCGAATCCCGTTAGTAATGTTCTTATATTTTGCACGGTCTACCTGAATTCTGCATTTTACAAGATCCAGAGGCGTCAATGCAGTGTGCGTTGTACCGCAACTTAGCACACCACCCAAACTGCAGAGGCCATAGTACTTAGCGGTCCCGTATTCGCAGCTCACCTGGGAGCCGGAACTCATCGTGTCAGTTGGCGCCAACAATGCGGCGTCGACGTTCGACCTTGAAAATAGTGCAGTAACCTCAGTACTACGGATTCACGGATTCACTATTTGATAGACAGGATCAAAGCATTTGCCCAAGTTTCCCGGGTCGGTTTTGTTCTTGTCGGTCAGTGGCTGTCGTTCACCTGAAAGGCACAAGTGAAAAAAGGGTGTAGCACTGCTCTTTATGTTCTCAGCGCGGGGCAGTATGCTCGCCAGCGCGAGGATTCGCATAAATAAATGTCTAATAGTGCTTTAAATTGGGTTCGAGAAGGAGCGTGTACAACCGTCGGAGGAAGGTCATTCCACGCAGCTACTACCCGAAATGAAAAAAAGTTTTGTCTAATGAATGTGTGTGCCCTGAGCTTGAAGATTTTCTTACTATGTCCCCGCCGGGTGTTTGCTGGGTCAACGGTAAAAAACCTGTTTGCCAAGCTTTGTTCAAACAGGGCATAAGTAAGAATTAGGTCCCCTCGGAGGCGATGGTACTCCAGGGGAAAGAGATCAAGCATCGCGAAACGCGTTTCGTAGTCCACGGATTTGAGGCCGGCAACCATTAACGCAGCGGCCTGCTGGACACGCTCAATGAGGGTGACGTCTTTCGTGCGTCCTTCGTAGACAACTTGGTTGGCGTACTCCAGGAGCGGTCTGACGTAGGCCCCATAGAGTATTTGGAAGTCCATGCAAGTAATACGGGAGAAGGAGTGCCGAATCATCCGTGAAATGACGAGTGTTTTTTGGGCTGACTTCCCATGGTGCAGTGAGAAGGACAAGTTTGGGGAGACCCAGATGCCCTTTTGGCATCTATCCTCATGATATTTTCCGGTCCTTTCTCGCCATATATAACAGAGGCATCAGCTGAGTCTCCTCCAAACGACATGTGGACGCACTTTTCATCATTCAGAGGAAGGTGCCAGTCCAACGACCATTGCTTTGCAGTGTCTACGTCCATTTGGAGGGCACTGGCATTGAAACTCCAGGATTTCAAGTCGTCCGCGAAAAGTAGACATGGACTTGTAAGAACATCTGGGAGGTCGTTGACATAGATCAGAACCAGGAGTGGTCTCAAGACGGAGCCTTGAGGAACTCCAATGGAGACCGGCGCTGGAGAAGATTAGGTCGAACCTATTCTCACTCAGAATGATCTGTCTGAGAGGAACGCCTTGATCCAGCGAAGGATTTTCCCTTGCATCCCGTGAGACTCAAGTTTGTTTGGTGGTCTATAGTTCTCCCACGCACAACGGCGTATTCTTGACTGTCCATCATACACATGTGTTTTTATGTCTTAATCCATCCTCATCTCTGCAGTGCTTCCCATATCATCCACATCTGTTTTGTATTCCACGCCCTTCAGAAGCAAATACCTGAAGCTGAGTGTTATCTTAAACTATTTTCTCCAATGGCCCTGGCGGAAATATATAATGTAAACATATTGTTATCTGTTCTTCCTATCCAATTAACCATCGAATTTCTTCATCTTTCATTCCTACTTTTTATTCGCCCTATCGTTCTTCAGGGTGTCACATGAGATTCGTTTTCTTGTTTTGATGACAGCTGGCACCTAACCTCGCATTTCCATTTGATACTTTGGAGCCTTTCAAATACAGGGCAACACACGGGCGTCACGATAACATTAGCGGGACTATCATAATATCTCTACTGCCTTCCCCGAGTTCACTGTCGTTCTACAAAAACATGATAGGATTTCCCCCCAAACTCAAGATTGTTTATGCTTGTTGAATTTGCACACACCTTCTAGTTTTCTGGCCACACAGTGCTTTACAAACACTTAAAACAAGAGGTAATGGAATCACACAGGGGGTAATCACCTGATTATACTTAAGGGTACTTCTGCTCCAGCGTTGGGGAACGGAAAATTGAGCAATGCTCCAACAGTGGATGGGCATACGATGAAGTGTGCGAACAAGGTAATCAGATCAGTAGATGAGTAGCCAACATGCACAAAACTAACCTTTCTGATGTCTAGCTGCATAAAAGGGCGATAAATCAGGGATAAAGAAAGCCTGACAACTCTTTGGAAATCGCTCTCTTCGTTCTGTTCTTAGGCGGAATTCCGGTAAAACCAAAGTGGCCTAAATTGTCCTCAGGGGATCCATGAAAATATACATAACAATTTCTGTCAGAACTTAAAGTAAGGAGATTATCCAGAGACTACTTGAGTAAGGCGCATTTGGACCACTGCCGAACAACACCGTGTAGTCACCAGATAATAAAAGAACCAAATTCACTGGTAGAAAGGCTGGTAAAAACTTGGAGACAAACATATTTAATGGGAAGTGGAGGCAGTTATCTAAGTTCAGGAAGGTCTCTTTAAAACCCGGAACTCTGAGTAACAAGATTTGCCTGCACCCACTCCATGGAATTGCATAGGATCAAGTGAATCCACCGATGGAACGGAGCGGTTAACAATAAGGATGACACAGGGTAGGTGAGCATGGCGTCCAATTCCTCAAAAATCAGTTTATAGTTTGGAGGCAGATGATTTGATGGAATCGAACCAAGCTTCAAAGTGAGGGATAAGACCACACAAAGTCGGGCGATGTAGGTATTGTCATAGGAGAAAAAACGATGCCACAGAGTTTTGGATATTCCTTTCAACAATGGTAGCTAGACCGCGGCGAGCAATCACCCAAATAGGCGAAGGGTCCATCCGATATGAATATTCAAATTTCCGGGTTTTGGATAAAAACATCGCCAGAATTGAATGAGAAAATGAAATATCAATTCTACTAACCACCAAGAGTGACGTGCTTTTTAGATATCTATTTAGATGAGCCGATCACAGTGTACCCTCAAACCGTCAAAACGCTCAGATATTGTCAGCTTAGAGCGTAGAGAAGCTAGCACGTACCTCGCGGAAACGAATCCTATGGGCTATTCTGAAGAACAAGAAAGCGTAAATAGAGCAGGAACGAAAGCTGAGACCGCCCCGGGTCACTGAAAGGGTAGAAGCGCCAACAAAATGCTTCACACCGTGTTTTTCCGACTGTGCCTTTGGAGTAAGCAGTTAAAACATACCATTCAGCCTAGGGTTATTAATCCTGAATGGCGGCACAAGAGCGTGGAGGAGAGTTTCATATGTTCACGTCTTACACGGTGGGTTGGGCGAGGCTGGCAATAACAAAGCTTGGGTTTATGAGAAAGGCCCGAATGCACTCTGAATGGTTGTATGTATTGCGAATCGCCCTGTTGGAAGTCTTACGAATGAAGTTTGACTAGGAGATTTTGGTTCCATTAATAAGCAGACCAGTGAAAAAACTGGGGGCGTGGCACGTGCCGTATATATAATTCACTAAACGCTGCAGTTGAAGACGGATAGAGGTAGACACAACCTGCATGGGGTCCAGTACAGTTTTCCTTGGAAAAATAATGTGTGTGCACAGCACTGCATACAATTGTCAGCAAGCTGTCAGAGTAGCAGGATGATCACGGGAACCGGAGGTGTCTTCTGGCAGGGGCCTGACGGGGGATTACGTATTCATGCTCATGCATGGCGCTTGCCGTCACGATGCCAGATATCAGATATCAGATATCTAGATGCTGGATGGCCACCTGGATGAAACGGGCTTTCCCCATCGAAAGCCATGAACACCAGTCTGAACAAGCACGACCGCTGGGGCTGCAAATCCTACGTAACCATCGGTTTAGAGCGTAATAAACGCTCTTGTTAATATCATGAAAATAACATCAACCTTCCTGTAAGGCAGAAGGTCGAATGATCAAGAGCGGCTTCCGGTTACCTATGTATGGCCTACGCCACCGGCCTCTTCACGGTTCTACTCTTTCGAAGTCATCCCCTGTTCCAAACCCATATGGCTATCTCAGGCCTCAATTCACATCACGCCTCCTAGCCCAAAGCCCTCAAGCCTACCACCTTTCGTCACAAT